TTCTTAAATGCCGCGTAGACTTCGCCCTCCGTAATCTCTCCCTCGCAGCTAGCCGCGTCAGTCAGCGAAAGCCGAAGAAAGTCAGCCAAATAGCTGACTTTCCTCGGCTGATTCGAAACTCCTCATCACGAAGTCCCAGGCTCCTTGGTAAACGGTCTTTCGAAATACCGCCGAAACGCCTCGCACATGTCGTCAGTGGCCCGAAAGGATTTTGACTTCACGAATGTAGCGACCGGAACCTCGACGGATTTCTTCCTTACGAAATTCTGCGCCCATGTTCACAGCTTCGGAAGACATCATGCTTAACCTATGTCTAAATACCTGGCCCATGAAGCGCTCGCTAGTCAAACGCTCCAGGGCCTCCCTAGCTGAGGCTATTTCTATGGGATCCCCCAGCAAACACCGAGGAAAAACTAGCCTTAAGGGTCTTCAATTTGTTAGCTCTATCTAGTGCGACCCGTTTGCTAAACTCGGTGGTGAAGGACCTATACCTATTCTTAAGCCTCTCTTACCACCTATTCCCGATAACAGCCCCTATTAGTTCCCGCTACACTAAGCTAGTTAGGTGTTCCTGGAAGTCCAGCCTGTCCAGTAAAGACAGATTGAACTTCCAGTAACCAGCCACTCTCGGCCTACAGTCTAACGCCATCCGGGCACAAATGAGTTTGTGGTCTGAATAGCTTACCCAGTGGAGAGTGGGACAATCAATCTACGTCGGCTCCTCTAGCATTCTATTCAGGTATCTAATAACCTGGGTAGAAGGTCAATTATGAACCCACGTCCATTCTTCCCCCAGGGTTGATCGACCCGGTATCTGTCGACGAGAGCAAACTCGTCGATTAGATCAACCAAGCTTCCCGTTAGCTCTCCGCCCCCTGTCAAACTTGGGGTTCAGGATGGTATTCTAGTTCCCCATTAAGACTAGGCGCGTTACATCAACCAGGAACGGTCCCAACCGCCGGAAAATAAACGAGCCTCGCGCCTCCCGATCGTTGGGCGCATAAACCACAACAACTCGAAAGGAACCACTTTCCTGAGCAATATCAGCCACGATCAACCGGCCCTCGGCATCGACAGGAATAAGGTCAATATTCGCATCCAGGACATGGTTAACCAGCAAAAAAAATCCTCTGGCATGTCGGTCCACATATACTGAATAAACGACAAAATCGCTAGACATACATCAACACTGCAAACAAAGTGGGTCTCTTGGATCGCGGTGACATCTACTCCGAACGACAAGAGGTCACGGAGCAGGCGAGCAACCTTACTTCGATTCCTCAGGCCCTTCACATTCAGACTGGCTAACTTGATGGACATCTTTTAAGTCTGAAAAAGAGAAAACAACACTCAACCTATTCACATACGGGATGGAAATTTGAAGCTGAAAGGACCCCAACGGATTTTCCCAGGTTCCTTGTGGCCACCTCCGACGTCATTCCTCCTTCTGAGACAATTCCGCCAACGTTCATCGGATATGTCATTTTTAAGACCCTGGATAGAGAGGGGTGGAAACGTATCGAGACTCTCGTTGCACAAAATCTCAGAAGTTTCTTTAAACCTGCTGTGCCCGTCTGGGCTATGCGAATCTCGGAAAAGGCATCTTTTGCCTCCTGTAAATGCGACTACACATTCAGATGCTTTCCCGTTTCCCTAATACAGGTGATTACACCGGGAGTTTGAGGGAACTTGCGGGAATCCTCTACCGACTTCCCGTCGGCAGATGTAAACTTGAAAAGTGGCTCTAAGAGAGCCTTTTTTTTTGTCTTGAAAGGTCCCTCTCTTCTTTTTCTATTTACTTTGCAAATGTCTTCCAAACTAAGAAAGTATTTTCTCCTTCTTTTTCTGGATGGGTGGGGTGGTGAAGAAGTTGACAGTGGGAAGAAGTGGATGGTTGGGGAGGTGTAAAGTGGCAGAGGACGGAGCCCTAGACGGTGAAGATGGGAGTCTCCTTGGTTTGATATAATTGTCCTCAAGTTCTGCTAGTGAAACAGGGAGAAATAGCGATCTAGCTTTGGTCATTTTTTTTTCTCTTTGGTGGGCGTCTCATGCACTTCCTTCTTCCTACCCCTCTTCAACGAGGACGACCGAGGTGAGGGCGTTTCCTCTGACTCCATCTCAGAATCTCTCCTCCCTTGCTGTATCTACAGTTGTTGTTGTTCCTGTAGTTGTTCTAGTTTATTTGGTCTTGCTTTTGTTACTGCCGCCCTTTTTCCTGTTTTTGGGGTTTCGACTGTTGCTGTTGTTGATCTTGCTGCTGTTGCTGCTGCTTTTTTGTTTGGGTTGCTCTTCCTTTTCATGGAGTCTTTCCTGGCTCTGAGGTAGTGGATGGCAAAGCTTTTCATGCTCTGGCCTCTCCTGGGGTTATCGTTGCTGCTGTGAGGCCTTATGTTGAGGGGTAGGACTTGACGATTTTCGTCCTTATTTTGCCACCTCCATCCATACACCATCGGGATATTTGCCAGACACATCAGTTTTTTTCTGCTTCTACTACAGGGCTAGGATGCGTTGAGGGTTTTTTTGGGGGGGGGTGCCAGGACACGCCTGTCCCAAAGCACCACAAAACCCAACAGTAGGGACGTCGGCCCCTTGACTACAATACGCATCGTTTTGTCACGACACCTCAGAATATTGGAAATCTTTAAAAATAACTTTTCCTTATCAAAGTGACTTGTAAAACGAAATCACCAATGACAATTCCGGATTTGCTGACTGTTGGGTTTACCTCCTCTAATGAGCCGTATTGGACAAAGAAAGCCCCCCCCCCAGCCTATCTCCACTGATGCCCACCGGGACTCCATGGACGGTGATTTTTGTTAATCGTGTCCCCATATTCTCCGTTTGGAAGCGGGATGATTTCGTGGTTAGGGTACTTCCTGCCAACATTCTACATTCTTCTGTTGATAGTAAATGATCCCATAAGGCATTTGACCTCCTTTGGGTCCTATATGAAGGCTTTTCAGAGCTTCTTCCAGTGTTTCCCTTCTAACCCCGATAAACTTCCAAGTTCCTACGTCGGTGGTCAGCAGGGGTGACGGCCCTAGTTTTTTACGGCATCCATTGCTTCTGGTATAGTCAGAAGCTCGTTGCCTTTAATATATGCACCATATTTATCCCTTAGGCCATTATAATATTTAGAGTCTTTTTGGGGCCACTTTTCACACCAGGCCGTTTTTTTTTTCGTATTTTGCCTTGGCACCATTTGTACCTTCAAATTTTCGTCCATGCTGGCATAAACACCTCCACGGCTGAACAAATAAACGTTTGCCTAATGTGCTTGTAATAATTAGACGAAATAAAGTCGTGGACGAAAAAACGAAAGAAAATCAAATCAAGCAAGAATGTGAAAAAATTAAACTTGATAACAATTAGCACGTAAAAAAACTCAAAAATAAAACCAAAGCTGATAAACAAACTATAACTACACAAACGGAAACGGAAATGAAAACGGAAGGAAGTCAACAAAAGAAAGAAGGAAACAAATTAAAAGCGGGAAAAATAATGAACAAATGAAAACAGGGACACACAAAATAAAAGAAAACTGAAAAATTCAAAAGTTAACAAGAATTTCAACAAAATTGAAATAACACTTAACAGTTCGAAACGCAAACTTTGAGCTGGACTGGAAGAAAAAACGTTAACAACAGGCTTAGTAACATAATACATTTTCGTGAAACACAAGAAATTTAAACTACTCTCCCGTCTAGTTATTCCAGCAGTATGGATATACTGCCAAGGTCAGTTTTTTTAACGTGGGAACCCGAGTGTTTTTACTCGGGCCGCTGATCTAAGATTGCCCAAGCTGGTCCGAGCTGGTCTAAGCTAGTCATAGCTGGTCTTATCTTGTCCAAGCTGGTCAGAGCTGGTGTAAGCTAGTCGTAGCTGGTCTTATCTTGTCCAAGCTGGTCAGAGCTGGTGTAAGCTAGTCGTAGCTGGTCTTATCTTGTCCAAGCTGGTCAGAGCTGGTGTAAGCTAGTCATAGCTGGTCTTATCTTGTCCAAGCTGGTCAGAGCTGGTCAGAGCTGGTCTAGGCTAGTTTTAGCTGGTCAGGACTGGTCTAAGCTAGTTAAAGCTAGTCAGCTGGTCATAGCTTGTCCAAACTGGTCATAGCTCGTCTAAGCCAGTCATAGCTGGCCTTAACTTGTCCAAGCTGGTCAGAGCTGGTTTAAGCTAGTCATAGCTGGTCTTGGCTTGTCATAGCTCGTCGTAGCCGTGATACCACCAGCACAGGGACGAATCCTACACAAAGTAAGTATCAGCTATTCCAGTAGTATGTGCGATAACGACTGTGTGTCTGTGTGTGTGTGTGTGTGTGTGTGTGTGTGTGTGTGTGTGTGTGTGTGTGTGTGTGTGTGTGCAGTTTGGCATACTTCGACCAATATCAATTCGGGTGCTGATTGATTGAACTGGACAACGCTATTTGCCTGGGTAACTGAGAATAAAAGCGAAGAACGTTGATTGGTTGGTCGGCCGCGGTGTTAGCCTGATAAAAAAGGGCTGAATCCGTGAGAATGGGAGAACGGGTTTACGTTTGAAGTGTGCGGAAAACAAAAACTGTATCTTGAATTGTAAGAACGATGTTCGAGTAATAGAGACTCATTTAAACTACACTTATTAATAAGAGAATACGTGCGGAATGAGGATGATTTATTCAGTGATTATTTTTTTGGATTTGGGTGCTAACTTGACTCTTTTGTAACAATAGAACATAAGTGAAGGCGTCAGATACTTACTAGAGCGGTACAAAAATCTTTAGCTATTGGTCGGATATATTATTACCACTTGAGATCTGGAGTGAGATTCATCCCCAGCAGGCGTTCAAGGTTATGAAGTTTCCTTGAGATAATAACCATCCATCATGATAGGTGAAAATACACAGTCTGCCCTATGACTGTGGCATGTTTCGCTTTGGAGGTATCGAATGTTACGAGATACTCCTTCCGCCATTGACTTCACCAGGGCTAGGTTCTGGTCATCCTGATTTTGGACGTCTATATATATCATCGGCATAGATATTCGGTATGGGGTAAGGAAAAAAGGCAAAAACAAAAAAGAAAAAAGAAAGAAAGAAAGAAAGAAAGGAAAGAAAGAAAAGGAAAGAAAGATAGAAAAGAGAAGAAAGAAAACGGAGGAATGAAAGAAAGAAAAATAAAGGACAGAAAGAAAACGAAGGAAAGGCAGGAAAGAAAGAAAACGAAAGAAAACTAAGTGAAAAAAAAGAAAAGGAAGGAAAGAGAGGAAGAAAACGAAGGGAAGAAAGAAAAAAAAGGAAGGAAAAAAGGAAAACGAAGAAAAGAAGAAAAAGGAAAGATAGAAATAAAAAAAGAAGGAAACAAAAGAAATAAGAAAATGAAGTAAAGAAAACGAAAGAAAGAAAAAAGAAAAGAAAAAGAAAGCAAACGAAGGAAAGAAAGAAGGAAATTGAAGAGGGAAAGCAAGTAATAAGAATAAAAAGAAAGAAAGAAAATTTGAAATTTGGCGAAAAACAATGAAAATAAGACAATAGTCGAAATAAAGCAAATATGACAAAGATAGTACAAGAAAGGAAAATCAGGAACGCATATTTGAGATAAAAATGCTAAGAAAGCAACAATATAAGCTTATAATAAAACTCTCTAATATTAATAAAAAATGCTATTACGCCTACCGCTATTAGGTGTAATGAAATACCACCAAAAATGGATGGAAGAAATTATTTTTGCTTTAGTTATTCGACCTGCTGTTAGAATGACTAAACAAGTAAGAAATATAAAATGAAAGTCAGAATTAATAGAAACTGCTATATTAAAGAAATTCGGACAACAAAACACTACCACTATTATTATTACTACTACTACTACAGGAAAGAAAAAACGGGAAAATACATATGGTTCAGGTGAGGATACACAGAAAGCAACAAATATATAATCAAAGTAAAACTCCTTAAAATTAATAGAAATTCGGACGACAAAACACTACGACATCTTCTACTATTAAGAACTAGTTTAAATTTAACAAAATGCTTTCTCTCTTATTTCACTTTACTTTGCATTTTCTTTCCTCTTTGTGTCGATAACGTTTTACCATTTGCGAATATGATATTAAATAATATTTTACATGGGAGCTTCATATTTTTTTATGAATTTCAATTTCCGATTTAGTCACTCTTTACTAATAAAAATGATTTATCGAAAGTCGCCATATTGAAGATGGCTGTCGAATTATTTAAGAGAGTCCATTCAGTAATAGAGACTCTGATTCATGCGAAAATAAAAATCATGTTATCGTAAATGTGATCAGTTATAATAAACATTAATGGGTTTTAAGTATAGTAAAAATCATTAGTAGCACTTCTGAAATACACAGTCAATTTACTAGGTATCATATTCTAGTGTCGGGTTCTGCGTTTATCTTTATAAACAACAAGCAAGGCAATAAAGCCACTAAGATGAAATAGTTTACTGAGTGTTAGAGAGTATGTGAAAGAAAAATTCAATTAAAGAGAGTAAAAGACACGAAGATGACAGGAGATAACGATTGACATTGCATTTAAATTTTTGAAGATTCAAAGGTGAATGGGAAGCGAGAAACCGGAAGAGAGTTCCACAAGCGAGAAGAGAGAGAGAGAGAAGTGAGAGAGAGAAGTGTGAAAGGAGGGAGAGAAGACAGAGAGAGGAGTGCGAGAGAAGGGAGAGAGAAGAGAGAGAGAAGTGCAAGAGAAGACAGAGGTAAGAAAAGGAAGTGTGAGAGAAGGGAGAGAAAACAAAGAAGAGAGAGAGAAGTGCGAGAGAAAGGAGAGAAAAGAGAGGAGGAGAGAAGAGAGATAATAGAGAGGGGTGCGAGAGAAGGGAGAGAAAAGAGAGGAGGGAGAGAATAGAAAGAGAAGAGCGAGAGAGAAGAGAGAGAAAAAAGAGGAGGGAGAGAATAGAGAGAAAAAAGAGGATGGAGAGAAGAAGGAGAGAAGCGAGAGAAGGGAGAGAAAAGAGAGGAGAGAGAGAAAAGAGAGAAAAAAGTGGAATGAGAGAAGGGAGAGAGAAAAGAGAGAGAGAAGAGAGAGAAAAAGAGGAGGGAGAGAAGAGAGAGAAAAAAGAGGATGGAGAGAAGTAGAGAAGTGCGAGAGAAGGGAGAGAAAAGAGGAGAGGGAGAGAAGAGAGAGAAAAGAGAGGAGAGAGAGAAAAGAGAGAAGAGAGAGAAACGAGTGGAATGAGAGAAGGGAGAGAGAAAAGAGAGAGAGAAGAGAGAGAAAAAGAGGAGGGAGAGAAGAGAGAGAAAAGAGAGGGTGGAGAGAAGAAAGAGAGAAATGCGAGAGTAAGGGAGAGAAGAGAGAGAGAGAAGTGACACAAAAGAGAGGAGGGAGAGAAAAGAGAGGCGGGAGAGAAGAGAGAGAAAAGACAGGAGGGAGAGAAGAGGGAGAGAAAAGAGAGCAGTGAGAGAAGGGGAGAGAAAAGAGAGAGAGAAGAGAGAGAAGTGCGAGAGAAGAGAATAGACAGAAAAGAGAGAAAAAAGTGGAGGGAGTGAAGAGAGAGGTGCGAGTGAAAGTAGAGAAAAGAGAGGAGGGAGAGAAGAGAGAGAAGAAAGACACAAGAGCGGATGGAGAGAAGAAAGAGAGGAGGGAGAGAAAAGTGAAGAGGGAGAGAAGAGAGAGAGAGAAAAGAGAGAAAAAAGAGGAGGGAGAGAAGAGAGAGAAAAAAGAGGAGGGAGAGAAGAGAGAGAAAAGAGAGGAAGGAGAGAAGAGAGAGTGAAGAGAGAGAAAAGAGAGGAGAGAGAAGAGAGAGAGGATTGAGAGAAGGGAGTGAGAAAAGAGAGAGAGAAGAGAGAGAACAAAGAGAAGAGAGAGGAGAGCGTGAAGCGAGAGTAAAAAGAGAAGGGAGAGAAGAGAGAGTGAGAAATGCGAGAGAAAGGAGAGAAAAGAGAGGAGGGAGAGAAGAAAGAGAAGTGCGCGAGAAAAGAGAGAAAAGAGCGGAAGAGGAGAAGAGAGAGAGAAGAGAGAGAAGAAAGAGAGAAGAGAGAAAAAAGAGGGAGGGAGGGAGAAAAGAGCGAGGGGGAAGAGAGAGAGAAGAGAGAGAAAATAGAGGAGAGAGAGAAGTGAGGGAGTGAAGAGAAAGAAGAGAGAAAAGAGAGGAGGGAGAGAAAAGAGAGTCGGGAGAGAAGAGAGAGAGAAGGGAGAAAAAAGAGTAGAGAGAGAAGAGAGAGGAGAGAGAGAAGAGAGAGTAAAAAGAGGAGGGAGAGAATAGAGAGAGAAGTGCGAGAGAAAGGAGAGAAAAGAGAGGAGAGAGAGAAGAAAGAGAAGTGCGAGAGAAAAGAGAGAAAAGAGAGGAAGAAGAGAAGAGAGAGAAGAGAGAGGAAAGAGAGAAGAAAGAGGGAAGAGAGAAAAAGAGAGAGGGAGAAAAGAGAGAGGGTGAAGAGAGAGAGAAAATAGAGTAGAGAGAGAAGTGAGAGAGTGAAGAGAAAGAAGAGAGAAAAGAGAGGCGGGAGAGAAGAGAGAGAGAAGAGAGGGAGAAGAGAGAGAAAAGACAGGATGGAGAGAAGAGAGAGAGAAAAGAGAGAGACGAGAGAGAAAAAAGGTGGGAGAGAAGAGAGAGAAATGCGAGCGAAAGGAGAGAAAAGAGAGGAGGGAGAGAAGAGAGAGAAGAGAGAGAAAAGAGAAGAGGGATAGAAGAGAAAGAAAAGAGAGGAGGGAGAGAAGAGAAAGAAAAGAGAGGAGGGAGAGAAGAGAAAGAAAAGAGAGGAGGGAGAGAAGAGCGAGAAGAGTGAGAAAAGAGAGAGAAAAGAGAGGTTTGAGAGAAGAGAGAGAGAAAAGAGAGAGAAAATGAGGAGGGAGAGAAGAGAGAGAGAAGTGCGAGCGAAAGGAGAGAAAAGAGAGGAGAGAGAAGAGAGAGAAGAGAGAGAAAAGAGAAGAGGGAGAGAAGAGAGAGAAATGAGAGGATGGAGTGAAGAGAGAGAAAGTGCGACAGAATGGAGAGAAAAGAGAAGAGGGAGAGAAGAGAGAGAAAACAGAGGAAGGAGAGAAGAGGGAGAGAACATAGAGAGAGTAGCGAGAGAAAAGAGGAGGGAGAGAAAAGAGAGGAGAGAGAGAAGAGAGAAAAGAGAGGAGGGAGAGAGAGGAGAGAGGAGAAAAAGAGAGGAGGAGGAGAGAGAAAGAGAGGGAGGGAGAGAAAAGAGAGAGAGAGAGAAGAGAGAAAAGAGAGGAGGGAGAGAGAGGAGAGAGAGAGGTGCGAGAGAATGGAGAGAAAAGAGAATAGGAAGAGAAGAGAGAGAAAAGAGAGGAGGGAGAGAAGAGAGAGAAAAGAGAGGAGGGAGATAAGAGGGAGAAAAGAGAGGATGGAGAGAAGAAAGAGAGAAGTGCGAGAGAATGGAGAGAAAAGAGAAGAGGGAGAGAAGAGAGAGAAGAGAGAGGAAGGAGAGAAGAGGGAGAGAACATAGAGAGAGTAGCGAGAGAAAAGAGAGGAGGGAGAGAAAAGAGAGGAGAGAGAGAAGAGAGAAAAGAGAGGAGGGAGAGAGAGGAGAGAGAGAGGTGCGAGAGAAGGGAGAGAAAAGAGAGGAGGGAGAGAAGAGAGAAAAAAGAAGAGGGAGAGAAGAGAGAGAAGTGCGAGCGAAAGCAGAGAAAAGAGAGAAGGGAGAAAAGAGAGAGAAGAGAGGAGGGAGATAAGAGAGAGAAAAGAGAGGATGGAGAGAAGAAAGAGAGAAGTGTGAGAGAATGGAGAGAAAAGAGAATAGGGAGAGAAGAGAGAGAAAAGAGAGGAGGGAGAGAAGAGAGAGATAAGAGAGGAGGAGAGGAGGGAGAGAGAAAAGAGAGGATGGAGAGAAGGGAGAGAAAAGAGAAGAGGGAGAGAAGAGAGAGAGAGAAGAGAGAGAAAAGAGCGGAGGGAGAGAAGAGAGAGAGAAGAGAGAGAAAAGAGTGGTAGGAGAGAAGAGGGAGAAAGAAAAGAGAGGTGGGAGAGAAGAGAGAGAACAGGGAGAAAAAAGAGGAGGGAAAGAAGAGAGAGAGAAGTGCGAGAGAAAGGAGAGAAAAGAGGGAAGAGAGAGAGAAGTGCGAGAGAAAGGAGAGAAAAAAGAGGAGGGAGACAAGAGAGAGAGGAGAGAAGAGAGAGAAAAGAGAGGAGGGTGAGACGAGAGAGGGGAGAGATAGAGAAGAGAGAAAAGAGAAGAGGGAGAGAACTGAGAGAAGAGAGAGAAAAGAATGTAGGGAGAGTAGAGAGAGAGAAGTGCGAGAGAAGGGAGAGAACAGAACTTACGGTTACATCTAACAATTTCAACTGTAAAATGATGAGACCTTACCGCCAATCTAGTACTGCGCTTATATTCATAAAGTCTCGGTACCAGAGAGGAATTTTCGCCAGAACAATTACCACGAAAGCATTTATAGAATGCGCCGATGTCCTGAAAACACTCATTACGACATAACACAGTGATTGCTTCTTGACTTCGCATACAACATAGAAATCACCCTTTCCAACTGACGCCAAAGGTACTCTATAAGACTGACATTTGCTGACTGCCGAAGCCACTTTAACACAAGACACTCATTGCTGAGTTCCGTGAACTAATCTACGACAATTTATCATTTGTGACACAGTGCGTTTTCCTGCCTGAATTTTACGGCCAGAGTATGGGTACACCTTAGTCATACACTAAGGCACGTGGTTAGACATATGCCTAGTTAGTCTGCTTAGGTCGCAGCAAGGTTCTTAATGTCCGCTGAGAAAATATACCCTATACTATTAAATCCCTATTTGCAGGACAAAAGCTAGGATCGAACCATAATTATTTTAATCGTGTTCACACATGCAAGGGAGTAAAGCCACGAAGACGCAAGTGGGTTACTGGGTGTGGAAGAGTTAGAAACAGGGACACTGCTAAGGAGCGAGAACAAAGGAAGAGTAATCAGGAGGACAATAGATGGTGATTGACATTGCGTTTAAATTTCCGAAGATTAAAGTTGGCTGGAAAACATGGCGCCGGAAGGGAGTTTCAGTTTCAGCTCAACTGTAAATTGGTGAGACCTCTTCGCCAGTCTAGTACTGCGCTTAAATTCGAAGAATCTATTCCCCCATTTATGGTAATTGTTCCAATGAGCCCTTCCCTCATCTGAACAATTACCATGAAAGTATTTATAGAAAAGGCAAATGCCAGATCAGGACCAATAATATTGCTGATTCTTCTTTGAATTTTATCAAGCACTAGATATATAGCAGGAGCACCGGACCATATGTGGCAGCAATATTCTAAGCATGAAAGGTAGACTCTAGAGAAAGAAACCGCACTGAACCAATATTCCTGTCTGCTAACCAAATTAATCGATTCAATATAGCCTTTTCACTTCACGTCAGCTGAAGCAAAGAAAAGCAAACTTACTAGGTAGGAAATGGACTGAAGCCGAGACGCCAGATTAGGGCCAATAAGACTGCTGATTCGTCTTTGGATTTTATCAAGCTCCAGATTCTAATCATGAATGGTAGACTCAAGAAAACCAAACAATCGATTCAATATAGCCTTGCCACTTCACGTCAGCTGAGAACGTTAACCCTCTCCTGGAGGTCAGCATCAGACATGCTGATGGAAACTAGAGAGAGTCCTCTCAGATGATTAATATGCTCCGAGGCCCCCAAACGTCCCAACACAGGTTTTGTTTTTCTAGACTGGTTGCTATCCAAGGCTATAGGACCCAGTCTGTCCTGCTATTTATCTATAGCTAGGAAATGATTAGATTTAATGAGACCATTTAAGTACATGGAGTTCTCAGATAAATATGCTGGATTCATTGCATCATTCGGTATTGGACACTTAGTGCAACATAAACTATGTTCTATTTCCTAAAATAAGTTTAATACAAATCAATACACTGAGGCATTTGAAGTGTTGAGAATTTATCAATAACAAACAAACGAGCATAATAGGTTCAATGGAAAATAAGAATTTTAGAATCAATTATTATTCTTGAATTAATGTATTTAAACAGTGTTGAATTCAGTCCAAATACAAATCCCGAATATCTATCCATTTCCGCCATCGGTTGTTTACGTGTTTACGATAAAATCTCTAAATTTTAGGACTTGAGCAATCTGTGAATACAGTTTCTGCATATTATTTGCAACTGAATTTCTTTTTTAGCTTAAAACATTACCAAAATCTGACTATATCTCTGAGATGAGGTATTATGATTACTTGCATTATTTACATTATTCGTACTGTTATCCTCATCTTCATTGCTATATTCACAACGTTTCGGCCGTTGTAAGCTCCGGCCTTTATGTCTATGTCTCTCTATATATCTGTCTATATCTCTGAGATGAGGTATTATGATTACTTGCATTATTTACATTATTCGAACTGTTTTCCTCATTTTCATTGATATATTCACAACGTTTCGGCCGTTGTAAGCTCCGGCCTTTATGTCTATGTCTCTCTATATATCAGTCTATATCTCTGAGATGAGGTATTATGATTACTTGCATTATTTACATTATTCGGACTGTTATCCTCATCTTCATTGCCATATTCACAATGTTTCGGCCGTTGTACGCTCCGGCCTTTATGTCTATGTCTCTTTATATATTTGTCTATATCTCTTAGATGAGGTATTATGATTACTTGCATTATTTACATTATTCGGACTGTTATCCTCATCTTCATTGCTATATTCATTAACGTTTCGGCCGTTGTATGCTCCGGCCTTTATGTCTATGTCTCTCTATATATCTGTCTATATCTCTGAGATGAGGTATTATGATTACTTGCATTATTTACATTATTCGGACTGTTATCCTCATCTTCATTGCTATATTCACAACGTTTCGGCCGTTGTACGCTCCGGCCTTTTTTATGTCTATGTCTCTATATATCTGTCTATATCTCTGAGATGAGGTATTATGATGACTTGCATTATTTACATTATTCGGACTGTTATCCTCATCTTCATTGCTATATTCACAACGTTTCGGCCGTTTGTACGCTCCGGCCTTTATGTCTATGTCTCTATATATCTGTCTATATCTCTGAGATGAGGTATTATGATTACTTGCATTATTTACATTATTCGGACTGTTATCCTCATCTTCATTGCCATATTCGGGCAATGTTTCGGCCGTTGTACGCTCCGGCCTTTATGTCTATGTCTCTTTTTATATATCTGTCTATATCTCTGGGATGAGGTATTATGATTACTTGCATTATTTATATTATTCGGACTGTTATCCTCATCTTCATTGCTATATTCACAACGTTTCGGTCGTTGTACGCTCCGGGCTTTTTTTGTCTATGTCTCTCTGTATATCTGTCTATATCTCTGAGATATTATGATTACTTGCATTATTTACATTATTCGGACTGTTATCATCATCTTCATTGAACATATTCACAACGTTTCAGCCATTCTCATGTGATTGGAAATTCCAACCGAACCCTTTATTTCATCCACCGGGGTAGATTGTTCTAGTTCCACGTGTCATGACTCTTCCGGATGTTTCAGTTATATCCCTTTTAACTACTTCCGTTATATCAGTAACTGCATTAATTCAAGTTTTTTTTTGTTATTTTAACTGAAGGCACTTTCAAGTAATTGAAGAAAATAGACTCTGTTAAATCTAAACCTGATGCTGTTTTTGCTGCATTCTGATTGAACTCTTTTTCTGCTCGCCCATCTGGGTATGACCCCTAGTTCAATAATAACTCAGATTCTCTCACAATATTCCCATTCTCAAATATAATATAGATGCAATCGTCAGCATACTTGCTTTCTCCTAACAGCGTAGTTGATTAAAAGAATCGCTTATTTATATGACTCTACACATTACCATATACCAGCATTTTATTGACATAATGATCTAATAATGGCCTCAGTCGGTCTCACACTGTGTAGGTCAGAATCATGTTCTCTCCGGCCTGACAAGTCCGAACGTGTCATAAATATGTCCGCCTTGCTTGCGTCTAAGTCCGGCTCACGCCACTTTAATCAGGAGATTTACGGAGAATAGCTTAATCTGGGATAAGATCAAATGTTTCGATTATAACGAATAGTAAGAGGAATAACGCAAAATAAACAAGTGTTTCCTTAAATTCAAAAGAAATTAACGTTAAATTAAACCTTTTTTTTTTAAAATAAATCGGTATCACATCTTGCAAGCCAGTGAATCCACTAAGACACAAGGGCTTGCAGGATGTAGAAGAAATAGGAATAGAAACATTAATAATGAGTGTAAAGAGGAAAACTAATTAAAAGGACGTTAGATAAGGATTGATTTAAATTTTTTAAGATTAAAGTTGACTGGAAAGCATGGATGTGGAAGAGAGTTCCACAAGCGAAAAATGTGGGAAAAGAAACTATAGCCAGAGTAATAGATAAAATTATCGCCCGAATTTGGTAGATACGTTTTTTTTAGTGTCGATTGTTCAGTGTTTTCTTAATTTTATGTGTAGTCATATGATCTTTTTTGTGATTTCATCGATTATCATTAAATTAAAAAAAAAAGAATTTGCTTTAATTTTGTGTCATTATTATTATCTCGTTAATCGATATTATCCCATGCAAAGCAGTATAGCCACTAAGACAAACAGTTACAGGATGTGAAAGAATTAAAAACAGAAACATTAATAATGAGCGGGAAGAGGAAAGAGTAATCAGGAGGACAGTAGATAGCGATTGACATTGCATTTAAATTTTTGCAGATTAAAGTTGTCTGGAAAGCATGAAGCTAGAGGGGAGTTCTGCAAGAAAGGCAGTAAAGCCACTAAGGCACAAGGGGTTACAGGGTGTGGAAGAATTAAAATCAGAAACATTAATAATGAGCGGGAAGAGGAAAGAGTTAGCAGGAGGACAGTAGATAGCCATTGATATTTGCAACTAAATTTTTGGAGATTAAAGTTAGCTAAAAAAGCATGGATTTGGAAGAGAGTTCCACAAGTGAGAAGTGTGAGAAAAGAAACTGTTAGCATAGAACTTACGGTTGCATCTGGCCAATTCAACTGTAAATTGATGAGATTGCAATGCCAGTCTAGTACCTCACTTCACTTCAAAAAATCCAGATGCAATAGCGAAGAGAGCATTTGAACAATTACCATGAAAGTATTTACAAAAAGACAGAGAGAGACAGCCTCACAGCAGTAGAAAAGTAACAGAAATTTCAAGAAGACTGTTTCAGTGCCAAAAGAAAAAAAAACAAAGCACAGATACAATTTAGTCCCCAAATAAACAAAACAAAAATTGATCAAGGTTTTAATTTTGTATATACATGATGTCCATAAAGTTCGTGTGCACTTTAAAAAATTTATAACTTTATTTGTATTTGCAATAGAAATCATTCGAAAAAGGATTAAAAGGAAATAAATCTATATTTTTTAAGGTTTTATTGAAATTTTATTTAAGTCTCCACATGTCCTCCATCATTAGCAATACAAAGGATAATACGATTTTGCAGTTCACGGAAAACATTTGCCAACTGATTTGCAGTAATGCTTGAAATCACATTAGTTATTTTAGCTCTACTTTTATAACATTTTTTACAGATTATTTCTATCGCAAATACAAATAAAGTTACGAATTTTTTAAAACGCACTCGAAGTTTATGGACATCCTGTGTTTTGTCAGAAGCGGTCTTGCATGGATGACCAAGAAGTTGCAGTAAAACACTGTATACGCCATTAGTGGGCAACTTTGAAAAAATATAAGGCCAATAGGACTGAAGAAGAGCACACATCTGTTACTAAAGTGGATACAAGTTGAGCGATAGGTCGGATGACGAGTCAAGTAAGGTATTGCAGTTATTTGGGTACCGTGTGTACCTCAACTCAAACAGAAATACATTAGCGATACATGAATGAAACAGAAGCAACGGGAAATATTTATTCATACTGTCTTTTTATATATATATATATATATATATATATATATATATATATATATATATGTAGAAAGAGGAAAATATAGATAGAGAAAAAATAGAGAGGAGGGGAAGATAAAAATGTATAGACATAGAGACAAAATAGATAGAGAATAATAGATAGAAATATATATATATATATATATATAGAGAGAGAGAGAGAGGAGAGAGAGAGAGAGATAGATAGATAGATAGATAGATAGATAGATAGATAGATAGATAGATAGATAGATAAAGAACATACTTAGATAGGTAAATAGATAAGGGGGACAATTAAATCGGTATATAGATAGATAAGGAACGGACTGAGATAGATAGATAGATAGATAGATAGATAGATAGATAGATAGATAGATAGATACGAACAGGCTGAAACAAATAGATAATGAACTGATAAAGTTGATATGGATAGATACATAAGGAACTAAATGAGATTGATAGATAGGTAAACAGATAATGAACAGACTGATACATAAATGGATAATGAACAGACTGAGATAGATAGATAGATAGATAGATAGATAGATAGATAGATAGATATGAACAGAATTAATAGGTAAACAGGTAGATAGACATAGACAGATAGATAGATAGATAGATAGATAGATAGATAGATAGATAGATATTTACTTATGATCGAGCATAAAATCTTGTGCTCAAATTTTCGTACGGGATGTTACCTCTTCCAGCGGAAATGCTAAATTTACATGCATCTTATTATGCGCTCTAAGGGAAATGGAAAATATTACAAAATTACTTCAGAATTAAAGATGATCAGCGCATTTACTTGAATTTTACAAATAAGAATTATGTAAAATGAGGCCCAAACTAAATACAACACAGAAATACATACATGCAAACATTAAACACTTACTGAAACACTTACTCTCACACACACACATATATATATATATATATATATATATATATATATATATATATATATATATCGTTTCATTAGGTTTGACAGGAGGATCCACTCTTCTATATGAAAATATTTTACGAGCCTTTTGTTTCTTATTGAATATGAAATAATTAGCCTATTAGAAGAGTTGTAATGTATTTTCATGTATTTTTCTTCATTTATAGATTGAAGTCTTCAAATTCTAAGTGCTCTTAAATTGAATTCGATAATTATTCCAGATTTTATTTTGTTGTGATGGTGAGATTTATAATCCATTTTTGATTCAGCTGCATAAAACGCCATTAGAAATCAACTCGTGAAAATAGATTAAAATATTCTACCTAGTCATACACCAGTACAAAAGTAATGAGCACCTTCATTATCAGTGTGGGATATTGGGGTCGTTCATTTCCTGAATGGACTTCCGGTACAGAAGAAGCAGACAAAGGCTTACCATGAGGTTTATAATAAATATTTGATCACGTATATAGCTATATCTCTGAGATGAGGTATTATGATTACTTGCATTATTTACATTATTCGGACTGTTATCCTCATCTTCATTGCCATATTCACAACGTTTCGGTCGCTGTATGGTCCGGCCTTCTTCACGTGATTGGAATTTCGAACCTAACCCTTTATATATCTACTGAGCCACGAATAAAGACCTTGCTTAGATCCAGTGACAAGACCGAAAGAGTTTTGAGTTCAATACCAGGACACAGCGTTGAGTTTAAGGGAAATAAATGAGACATCCGGAAGAGGCATGACACGTGGAACTAGAACAATCTAGCCCGGTGTATCACTTGTTGAATCATTCATAATTAGCCCTTCTTTCTTTTACACGGTAATGTTTTATTTTATTTAGTCCTAGGCAATTTTTCTTGATAGTAACTATCTTATATATTTCTATGTCCGCCATTCATTCATGCATTGAATATCACTGCCACATATGGTTTGATGCTTCTGCTATGTATTTAATGATTCTTGGTAAAATACTAAGAAGATTCTGCTATGTTATTGGCCCTAATCTGGCATCTCAACTTCAGTCACTTTACTATCGTCATAACGTAGATTCCCTGTGACTTTCCCATAAATATTTTCATGGTAATTGTTCTGAGCAATCCTCTTTGGTCCCTATGGAAGTTAGTCGCAGTACTAGAGTGGCAGATAGGTCTCAGACATTATGAATTGTTTTATCCTTAAAGAGGTTACACACCGAGAAAGGTGGTACTCGAGTGAAGGAACAGCAACACGAGCGTAGATTAAAGAAGAGGGTTTTATTGTAAAAGAGAATACACTACTGAAAGACCGGAAATCGTGTAGCTGGCTAGTAATTCCCGAAGCAAGCCCCCATATATAGGTACTTATATAGTCAGTCCACATAGGCGATAAGAAGTGTGGGACATTACATTACGATATGAATTTACTAGATTGGTGGTATGTCCTCATCATTTTACAGTTGAAAAGACAAGTTGTAAAAATAAGTTCCATACCAAGAGTTCTTTCTCTCGCACTTTGTGAAACTCTCTTCCGGCTTCTTGCTTCTTCTGTCAATTTTGATCTTCACAAAATCTAAATGCAATGTCAATCGTTACCTTTTGTCTTCTTAATTTCTGTTCTTTTATTGTTCTCTCTCCTTAATTATGTTTTTTTTTCTTTTTTAATATTCTCTCGCACATCAGTAACCCCTTGCATTATAGAGGCTTTATTATTTGTTTTGAAATGAGTAAAAAAAAAATAATTTATCAAGGAAATGAACACGGTCACAATGTGTTGACCGTGTTTGAAAAATAAAACTATCCTATAACTGTAGATACATAAATAAAATCCAAACATCTAATTAAAAATAAAAATAAAATAATCCTTCATAATGGCTAAAAATATAGGAGGAGGCACGGTGGGGTGATGGTTAACGAGTCGGATTGAGAAATCAAGTTCGAATTCCGTTACATTTACTTACGGGTTATTAACCTTAGGAAATCCTCTTCTTCTCTCCCCATTGTAGAATATTGGTTAGCTTGCCAGTTTTAGAGAGATATATAGGTGAATAGAGATCACTCATGCAAATATATTGGGCAGCTCCATTCTAGCAAAATGGACCAACCTAAGTGGTGTATTAGGCACTCTCCTATAAAATGAGGTAAAATTATCTGGCCTGCTTCTTCAAGAAGACACAAGAAGGCAGTCATGTTTGCAGGTAAGTCACTTGACTTCTACACCCAGCTATGAGTAAATAGCAAGACAGACTGGGTTCTGTAGGCTTGGATGGCAACTGCAGAAACAAATGGTAATCTACTATGTCAGTCATGTATCTCACGATACATGATCGTTTAAACGTGTATCACGCATGGCACATAACTGACTGATAGCCGAAAGGGCTCGGATTTACAGAACATTCGCACAATTTCTTACATAATTTATGTCCAGAAAAGAAGAAAATTATAAGACAAGAAAAATTAAATAAAAAAACTTAATTGCAATAACTTGTCAATCGTTTTAATGAAATTTGTATATATATATATATATATATATATATATATATATATATATATATATATGTTTCATTAAATAATATAGACAAGTATTGTCTATTTATTTTATGTAAATTCTTTTCATATTGTCTGATAAGCTTAATAACATTATCATTAAACGAAGAAAGAAAATCACAACATTGATAAATATTTTTTAATCCTAAGCTTTCAGCTTACATAAGCCCTTATCAAAGATGACAATTACATTGCAATATATTCAGCAATACACGGACAAGACAGTGATGATAGTCTGTTTCTGCTTACATGGAAGATTTCCAAGCAACGACAAACTCGTGCATATAAGACGCTGGAAGCGAAAATCGCACCGCAGCTCATGACGTCCCACATGACCACGCGAGAGAGAATTCGAGAAGTATTAAGTATGGGAAGCCGTTGGTATAAATATATATATCTTGAATAAAATGAATGGAGCACTTTAGCTAATTGGCATTTGATTAGATTCGTAAAAACAATACGCTGGATTTAGCTGTGTAACTCTTCTGGTAGAAGCTCTGACTGACACAAAATCGGTTGGGTTTCGATCCTAGCTTCATGCATTCGGATTTCTAGTCGCACTGAGGAGCTGTGATACAGCGAAACAGTGCTATCTGAGAATCACACACATATATATATATATATGCCCATTTTAGTCCAAGATGGCGTTCGTTGTCTAGCTTCTTCGGGGATGAATGTAACCTCTTTGATAAGATTGAATCCCTACAATTGGTCGTCATCCAATCTTCTTACAGGAAGCTTGTACGCCATTATTAATATTAATTTATTATTGTTGCTTTTATCACTTTCACTTGTACATTTGTCCTAAACACACACATTCTCGCTTGCTCTCTTACACAGTCTCTCACTCTTTCTCTCTTTCTCTGTCTCTATGTAAATATCTTAATTTATCTCTCTCATAGTCTCTCACTCTCTCTAACTCTGTCTCACTCTCTCACTTACTCTCCCTCTCTGTCTATAAATATCTAATTCTCCCTCTCTCACCCACTCACACTCTCTCATTCTTTTTTTCTCTCTCTCACTCACTCTCTATCTATAAATATCTCAATCTCTCTATGTATAAAAGTCTCAATCTCTCTCACATTCTCACTCTTTCACTCTATCTATCATTCACTCACTCTATCTATCTATAAATATCTAATTCTGCCTCTCTGACACACTCGCTCTCTCGCTCTTTTTCCCTTTCTCTCACTCATTATCTATAAATATCTCAATCTCTCACTCATACTATCTATCTATCTATCTATCTATCCCCGTCTGCTCATATCTATCTATCTATCTATCTATCTATCTATCTATCTATCTATCTATCTACCCCAGTCTGCTCACATCTATCTAGCTATCTAGCTATCTATTTCCGTTATCTATCTATCCATTCCCGTTTGCTAATATCTATCTATCTATCTATCTATCTATCTGTTATGATGTTGATTTGGGGTTACTAAAGACAAACGCCAAATAACACGTAACAATAAAAAGGGGTTTATTCGGTTGGTAAGTAGGTACAGAAATCGCCTGAGTAGTCTATAACTAGCTCAGCTAAGAACTTCTCCGACTCTGTCTGTCTTTTGACATGCCACTATTTAATGTCTTTGTTTGTAGACAAGTTCATCTTCAAGAGGGGTGGTAGGTTTCCTACACAACACTATCTATCTATCTATTTCCGTTATCTATCTATCTATCCCAGTCTGCTCAAATCTATCTATCTATCTATCTATCTATCTATCTATCTATCTATCTATCTATCTATCCCAATGAATAATGAAAGTTCATCAAGAAGAATAGAGTTTCTGGTAATCAAAAAGCGTTTTCGAAGTTAAAGCTCGCCTGTCAATATCTCCCTGATCCAGCGTCAAGGCAGGGTCTAGGCCAGCATTTGGAGGCTCAGCTACAGTCAATAGCGTGACCAATTCTCAATGCAAATGATGGCCTTCCCACGCTTTCCGTTTCCTGTGGTCGATGCCCGTTGAATCTACAAGGAGGTATATCCGCACTTTGATTTAAAATCAAGTGATCCCTCTTATCACGTAAAACACGTGGGGAAGTCGACCATACACCGGATAATACTGGATCACTAATTAATTCTTTGCGCGACCAGGCGACGCTTAGCTACGTGTCATATTGCCCTTAAAAAATGTAAAAAAACGAAACGTAATCCATTATATGTGAAATTACATTTTATTCACCTTCGATTTTCGTCAATCAACGTCAAACACTGGCTGAGTGGCATTGATGTCTTCTCCGAATCGTGTCTGTACATTTTAGTGTCTAGTACATGATTCGTTTCTCTCTGTGACGGTGTAAATATATCCAAATGTCAGATTGGTTTTTCATCATAGGCGTCCATCGAATCGCAGCTGGCCCGATCTCACGTTCACATCTCGGGCCAGCCACCAAAATAGGGTGACAGGTGGATTTTCACCTTCAGCTACCAGAGAGACATCATGCGAAATCTGCACCTGAATGACACTCAGTGAAACTGTCAGAGTTATTTCCTCCTAATTTTTGAAACCGCTACTTGGGGACGCTCTCCAACACTATATATACTTGGCGATATCTCTTCTTGCATTCTTTCTCTTCTCACTTTTCTGCTGATAGTACAACATTTGGTTCTAAAGCAAGGAGGGCGCTACGCGTTTCCTTCCGGAAACGTCATGAACATTGCATACACGCACACACACACACGTACATACGAACATTCACTTACACATACTTTAAACCACAAACTTTCTACATTAATGTGTTACACACATTACTGCCAATGGTTACCTCCTGTTGTTTTATACATTATTATTTAATTATAGATAGGAAAAGACAATATTTATGAGGCATTTTTAAAAGCAAAAGCTAAAATAAAAACAACCGGTTTAGTCCCAGGACTTATCAAGTTTATTTATTCTGGGAATTTAAAAAGCGTGTAAATTAATTTTTAATTAACGAATGTAATCGAATGGGTGGGGGGAATTATAAATTTCAAGAAACTAGAGTCCAATAATATTCAGATCCAGCAAGCATTCCCTCTGTTTACAAAGGGAAGGTTCACGGGATCTGATATACAAGGACTCTAGAACCTTGAGGGGAAATGTGGAGTGGGACCTAGATAAAATTATAAATCGGTCACCACTAAAATTTTCCACACATTTCCTTCTATTTATTAAATGTTCAGCAATAGCAGAACCAGAACTGTTGGTCAGTTGGCTATTCCTGGAGGACGGATTCAATATCCTGGGGGGGGGATTATTATTTGTTTGTATATATACACTGCATGCCAAATTATTATCGAGATAACTTTTTTTACGCTATTTCAAAAACCGTCCAATCAATTCACACAAAATTTTCACACAGTGTTGGCAACAGTAGCCTACGCAATCACTGAAATTTTCGACCTGATCTACGCAGTGTAAACAAACTGGCGCCATATTTGTTATCAGTACGGTGATTTGAGCGGGCCAAATTATTAGAAAGGTTTAGTAAAAATACCAGAATTGAGCAAACAAAACGTTTATTAATGTTGAACGTGAATGTTTATGATCAAAAGAAGCTAATAAATAAGATAATCTAACAAATAATAACAGATACAAACAAAGGCACAGTTTTAAACAAATTAATAGGGAATGTGCTTTCCCTGTTTTGAAAGTCGACGATCCATAGAATTTGTTAATTGTAGGATGTCATCTGCTGTAATGCCACGAGATATGTCAAGAATTGCTTCCCACAACTCAGCGTTGCTCCTGAATTGTCGTCCATTGGCGTACAGTCTTCGCTTCATGATGCTCCAAAGGTTTTTGATTGGGTTCAAATCCGGAGAATTTGCTGGCCACTTCATTTTTCGAGGTCCATCGAACCCTAACTGCTTCAAATATTCAGTAGTCTTGTGAGCAGCTTGTGAGGGAGCATTATCTTGCATAAAAAGAATGGCCCTTCTGAAGGCAACCCTTTGCCTTTTCATCCACGGTTCAAGATGCTCCTTCATAAACGCTATGTATGCATCAGCAGTCATTTTGACGCCATCTGGTATTCTCCATGGGCTCAGTAATGTTTTTCCAATAATACCACCCCAGATCATTATGCCTCCACCGCCTTGTTGGCGTCTCAAACGCTGATGGCGATTCTGTCCGTTCATTACCCAGCCTTTGCACCATCTATCTGGCCCATCAAGTGTTGCTCGAGTTTCGTCTGTGAACAAAATTTTAGTGAAGTCAATCTTCATATTGTCCTCGGCCCATTTTAATCGATTTTGAATGTGATTTCTCGTCAACGGAGGTTTCGATACAGGTTTGACTGTTGTTATTTCACTCAGATACCGAACCCGAGTACTTTTAGACACAGTAGGATCCCCAGTGCGACTGAAAAGCTCTTGACTGGTAAGTCCAGGGTCCTTTGTGGCCTCTCGTTTAAGTCGTGACATGAGACGATGTGAAATAACCCTTGGCTTGCCTTTATCTGCCCTTTTGCGTACTTGTGTAGGGTCGGCGGTGAATTTTTTCGCTGTTTGATGACACCTCCCTAACATTTTAGAAATTTCTAGGGTAGATTTACATTTTGAGAGTTCTTAGGTGATAGTTTTCTTTTCAGCATTACTTAAACTGCTTTTATGGCCCATCTTTTTACTAAATTCTTACACTTTTCTAATAATTTGGCACGGTCAAATCACCGTGCTGGTAAGAAATATGGCGCCAGTTTGTGTACATTGCGCAGATCAGGTCGAAAATTTCAGTGATTGCGCCGGTCAGTGTTGCCAACATAGTGTGAAAAATTTGTATGAATTGATTGGACGGATTTTTAAATATCATAAAAGAAAGTTATCTCGATAATAATTTGGCACGCAGTATATATATATATATATATATATATATATATATATATATATATATATTGTTTCTTCACAATTCTTTTTGGTGGACTCATTCCGATTCTTCCATGTTTGTTGTGGGCCATTTCAGGAGACACACGTGTTTATCTCACAACGCATGCCACTGGCCCACAACACAATGTTACTGAGGCATCCCCAGAGCTAAGTCCAGTAAATACTATATAAGCATATTGATTGTTAAATTTTAGTTTTACGGCTTATCAACCCTTTGCAGGTTATTTAAAGCCAGAAATTTTTTTCAGATTGTAAGAATTTTTTGGAGATAATAATGATTTACTGATAAAAGTCCTACTAATTAACCCATAGGAAGGGGGAGAAGAAATGGATTCATACTTTTCACAATGGTATTTGCGCGAAATTGAATATAATGAACCCAAATGGAATTAGAACTCGGCTCCCCGATTTCCAATTGCGAGCCGTTATGCATTAAACCCCCCACATATTCAAGCTTACAGAACCTGGTATTCCCATGCGGTTAGTCATTTAGGTACTGACCAGGCTAGACGTTGCTTAACCTCGATGATCTTGCGAGAACTGGTGCTTCAACGTTATATCGCCGTAAGTCTATATAAGCATATATGCGTAACCGGAAATGCGATCAGGATATTAGTGCAAACGGGAAATGTATATTTTTTTCTAATGCTCATTAGTTAGACATTTACAGTTAGGAAACGGCATGCTATGGCCAAGGGATCGAATCGCATCCATTTCTTCCATATTCCATTTGTAAGGAGGAAGTTTCACATAGGCAGCTTTTTTTCCCCCAACATCTGCTACTTTCTCAAAAAGACTCGCGTGAATGGTTGTCTTCAAGGGTTGATCATTATCTATCCTCATTATATTCACGTCCTTCGATTTCCTTTTACATTCACGCCACACACCTCATTCAGGAACACTCTGCCTTGAGTGGCTCCTGAGACTTGCGTTGAATGAACTTTCACAGAGAAAAAATACCGAAATATATAAATGACTCAGCTAAAACTTGACACCTACATAGAGTGACAGTTTATTGATTTATGATCAACAGATAGGGTGTTTCTCTTTCTTGGGTCCATTTTTTTTTTCTTTTTGGATTCATTTTTTTTATTTATTTTTATGTTATTTGTTATTTTATTTATTTCTTTATTTATTGCTTAACACGACGATAAACAAGTTAGTCGCTTCAAAGAGATCCGAAATTCTCTCTGTGGTGAAAAAGTTGGCTCCAGGCAAGTTGACACTTCTCCCAAAAGGTAAAGCGAAGGTGGACCGGGGAAATTGGTCACAGAAAGAGAGAGAGAGAGGGAGAGAGAGAGAGAGAGGTGGGGGGTGCGTGATATTGATTCTAAACGAATCCACCTCAAACAAGAAATATACCAAACTAGCAGACAATCAATCTATTTCAGAGGGTTCACAGTTTCCTATATACCTATCAACCTATCAATATATATATATATATATATATATATATGTATATAAATAAAAAGAAAGAACAGTAAGATATAAAATCCGGTGTTCTTATAGATATTTTATTTTTACAAAATAGTGCTCAATGTAAATTTACAGAGCATTAATATTATAAATTAATTGATTTAAAATATGGTTTATTTTCGCTACACAGTTTCAACCATGTTTTCAAAATAGAAGCTAAAAACCCTAGCTTCTATTTTTTGAAACATGGTTGAACTGTGTAGCGAAAATAACCATATTTAAATCAATTAATTTATATATATATATATATATATATATATATATATACAGAGCATTTACATTTATTTAATTAAGACATTTTTTATGTTTATACGTTCTTGTTAGAGATACAAATATTTAAGTAAATGCTCTATATAATAAACAGTATTAACATTTACCGGCCTGAATGTCCGAGAAATTTTCATAGAAAATATGCGTCCTTCGACAGGAATCGAACCTGTATCCAATAAGGAATCATCATATAGCCTGACGTGCCTTAACCGATTTAGCCACAGAGGAGCGTTTCGGTTAGCAAGGTCGATTTTACTGTTTTTAAACTACAATTCTCTATGATTTTCCCTTATACATTCATATCTGCTCGATGCGTATCAAAATGTAAACAAATGACGTCAAACATATGGACAAAGTCTGACAATTATACATCAGGTGTATATGTGTAAATATGGAAATATACATATGGTTTTTTCGTGTGAATGTGTGTGTAGGTGTATATAGGAACTCATAGGCATATAAGAAGATATAGGTATCTTACTTATTATAAAACGCAGATTGTGTGTGTGTGTGTGTGTCTGTACGTTTATATATTGGATCGGATTTCCTACATTTTTCAACCGATTTCAAAAAGCTTCACAGGACTACGTAAAATTACCTTGCGGTGGTTCTGACAACGCCAAAAATTGAAAAAACACAATTGTTTTTGCATGAAATCAATTTGAAAACACGATAAAACATGATTCTGTCGCCATAATGAAAGGGGGACAACTCATCTCGAGTTATACTTATTATAAAACCCAGGTTGTTTGTTTGTGTGTGTGTGTGTGTGTGTGTGTGTGTGTGTGTGTGTGTGTGTGTGTGTGTGTGTTCGTTTATATATGGGATCGGATTTCCTACATTTTTCAACCGATTTCAACAAAACCACTTTTTTTTTGGCAGGTAGTGTTTCTTATTGTCTTGCACACTTTTTTCTTTATTTTTACATTCAGAATGCTTTAAAAATTCCATTTACAAGTCAATTATTTATAATAAAATTCTATTCAATCGGTAGACTCATAACGATTGAAAACAATGTTTTTGTTTCAGTTTGGGTTTGACCAATTCGTAAAAAAAAAAAACTAATTAAGACATGTGTGTCCGTCAACCTTAAATCTTTGTCAATTTTATTTTTCAGTCTTTATGATGGTCGATACTTGATCTATCTCTTACTGTTACATCCCCGAGCAACGCCGGGCTCTACTGCTAGTGTGGATATAAATAGGGGTTTAAGACATGTGTAGATAAAAGATTGTAAAAGAAGGACCTAATTTTCTGCTAGTGACATCTCTTCCAAATCCCTCCTCTAATATTCTCCAATTGGAAGTGAATTTTAAATAGCACGAAGGTAAAGTTTAAATTGGTATTTTAATTTAGATTGAAATATACTACCCCATTATTGATGATAAAATTATTTAAATGGGAATAACCGTTGATAATTGGGTACATAAAAACAATCACGAGTTTACTTAATGAACAAAAATCAAAAACAATCACGAGTTTACTTGAACATAAATCAAACGAATAGATGTCAACCTAACAAGCAATAAGATAAAAGTTTTAGTGGAATAAAAAAGATGACTAAATATAAAATGGATTGCTCTTTCAATGTTCTGTCTATGAATTTTTCCAATCGACTGTTTCCTAGAAAATACCCAAAACTCCACCGAATTTCAAATTAATTTCTTCGTAGATTGTTTTAACATTTAGATATTTATCAAACCTTAACCTCCCAAATATGCACGTTAAAGTAACGCGAATTAACAGCGTCTAAGAATTTGAATGAAACCTGTCGTGTAATTGATTGGGATTGTTGTAGCTTCTTCCTTTAATGTCGTTCTTCTCATTCAACACTTAGCCATCTATATCTAGAGACGAGACGCGTTAAATTTGAGCAACATCTAGCCGACACACTGGGGTTAAAAATAGGAAATTGAAATGATACATATGACACACTCATATCCTCTCTCCCACCTCACTTCCTCACTTCCTCACTTTGTTAACTTTACGTATACTTGATGAGGTCCGTAAAAAACGTGTGAATTTCTTTTCATTTTTCATTTCAGCTTTTGGAAGTAAAGTCTGATGATCCAGAACCCTGTTAAAGGGGTTATGGTGAAATAGCTTATTACATGGAATCTTAACGTGGTCTGTCTTTTATTCAATATATATATATATATATATATATATATATATATATTCTCTGGATGTTTTAAATGTATGCTAACATATTTAGTTGAATGTATATGAGTTTTAATCCTGGGTTTCACGCTTATGATATCCTCAGAGTTTGTCTGAGGATCGTATAAGCATGAAACCCAGGATTAAAATCTCATATACATTCTATATATATATATATATATATATATATATATATATATATATATATATATATTCATATCTATATTCCTGAATTTTCTTATAGCTGCCTGTCCAATACTATCATTCTTCCTCTTTCTTTATATACATGTTTGTGCGTCTGTATCAAGTCTTTTTATAAGTATCGGTCTATCTATCTATCTATATATATATATATATATATATATATATATATATATATCCATGGTGCGATGGTTAAATTGTCGCCATTTTATATCTTAATTTCGCGTATGCGCTTTGTTTGTTGCTGATTTTGTCGACTGCGCAGTCTAATAGGGACATTTGTCCCTGAGAAAATGAGTACCATGACGCAATATCCTACGCCAGAAATTTGGAAACGGCATGAAGTACTGCTTGGCATTCACTCCGGAAGCTTCAATACAAATCTTTCAGCGTGTTTGGGTGTCCATCTGAGAACAGCGTAGAGGATTCGGAAAGTTAGATAAAACGAATGGTGATTACGAAGGTGTTTAAAGTGATCACTACTGATGGAGACGTTATACCACCATTCATCTTCCCTCAGAGCCGTAGACTCAGCACGGGGGCCTACAATAAGCGCCTTGACGAGGTAGTGCTGCCTTGGGGAAAGAAAATGGTTGCTGGAAGACCCTATGTCTAGCTACAGGATTCTGCACCATGAAACACTATCAGGAAAAAACAGTCATGTCTGTCAGACAATTTCTGCGACTACATGACCCTTTACATCAGGTCACTTATCTCCACAGACTGCAAACTCATTGTTTATTACGTGTGAGGCACATTTGGGCGAGAGACCAACAACACTCCTTGTAGCACTAAAGACGAAATGGCTGCATTCACCAACTTAAACCAGCAACTCTACCTGTTCATATTTACCTATTTTTGTTTATATCTATCTATCTATCTATCTATCTATCTATCTATCTATCTATCTATGTCACTCTGTTCACATCACTCTCTCTCCCTCCCCCTCTCTCTGTATATATATATATATATATATATATATATATATATATATATATATATAGATAGATAGATAGATAGATAGATAGATAGATAGATAATATTGGTGGTAAATATACACATATATATGCAAAAGGTGCATACACATACATGTATATTTTTTGAATAAAAAATTCCGAGAGGATAGAAACCAGGTAGAACTCAATGTCCAGGACAGAGTAAGGATATAATAAAAAGGCTTAAACACTAATATTCCCTGGTCATAATTTATTCTATGGTGTGTGTATGTCACCACGAAATGTATCCTTAATGTATTAGACATCCGACAACATTCATATTTCCCCCTTCCACTCACCTCTAGTGAGAAAAAACCCTCTCTGTTAAGTTTTAATCTCCCACCTTCTCCGTCTATTTCCCCTCTCTTTAACACTAACATTCGTCCCACACTCTCATACTTACACTCTCTCCAAATTCTATTTTTATTTCCGAGTTGTTCTTTTCTGTTTTCTTTTTTGAATTTGTAGGTCTGATGAATTGGATCGTATTTACGATTCCAATGGAATAAATTATGACCATGGAATATTAGTGCTTAAGCCTTATAATATATATATATATATATATATATATATATATATATATATATATGGGTTGGACAAAATAATTGGAACACTTGTTAAATTCAAAGAAAATATTATTTAATATGGAGTTGGTCCTCCTTTAGCCTCACAGACAGCTTTAATACGTCCAGGAATGGAATCATACAGTTTCCTGACTTCATCCAGAGAAATTTTCAGTCATTCTTCCATTAAAACCTTCTCCAGCTCTTTACGACACGACGGTGGAGGATAGCGGCTCCTAACTTGTTGCTCCAAAATACACCACAAATGTTCAATAATATTGATATCTTGAGATTGGGGAGGCCACTCTATGTGTTCTAGTTCACTTTCATGCTCTTCGTACCAATTCTTAACCACTCGAGAGGTATGTATTGGAGCATTATCGTCTTGGAAGATGCAATCACCATCAGGGAATAAAGTCTGGGCCATTGGATGAACATGATCTCCCAAAATGTTCAGGTAAATTTTGCTGTTGATTCTACCATGCAGGGCAACTATTAGACGGAGACATTTCCATGATATGGCGGCCCAAACTATCACTGATTCACCTCCATGATTCACTGTTGGAAGAAGGCAGTCAGGGTTGTAAGCTTCTTTGGGATGCCCCCACAACACATAAACTCGCCCTGAAGTTGGGAAAAGAGAAAAACTGGACTTGTTTGAGAATATGACTTGCTTCCATTGGTCTGCAGACCAGGCATTGTGATCTCTGCATCACTTCAACCTCTTTTGAATATTGCAAGTGGAGAGAAGAGGTTTCCTCACAGCGGCTCTTCCATGATATGCAGCCTTATGGAGCTCACGGTAAACAATTTTAGTAGAAACTGAACTATTCAGATGGTTATTCAACTCAGCAGTCACTTTGGCTGCATTTGTCCGATGATTTTTGCCACATTGCGTTTCAATGCACGTCAGTCCCGAATTGCTACGGTTGCTAGAGGTCTTGCCCTGTTTCTGTTGCATCAGTGTTCTTGATATGGTAGCTCTTGAAAAACCAAACAGTTCAGTAACCTTAGTGATTGAGGCTCCTGCCATGCGAGCTCCAACAATTTGCACTTTTTCCAATTCGGAGAGGTCACGCATTTAGCTTAAATTTTACTAAATTCTAAAAATAAATAAGACAAAGACAGTAAATTAGATAAATAAACGTATTTACAATAGATATCACCTGCAATTACGAAGTTTTAGTTCTTAATATAATAGGTCTTTGAAATATAGGAGTGGATTTTGCAACGGTTCCATTTATTTTGTCCAACCCATATATATATATATATATATATATATATATATATATATGAAGAAATATAGTTTTAAGGTGTGCTATTTATGGGATAAAGTGCTATCAGAGATAGAGTGTATGTAAATATAAATACAGTGATTTTCTAAGCCCGGCTTAGTTGTGGCACAAGGCCGAAAGTATGGGGCACCCAGTGAGGATCGAACTCACTACTCAGACGTAATTGATCTAGCAAAACAAGTTATGTAAATATAAATGTAAAAGTGGACTTGAAGTCAACACTCAGAGGCTAGACGCAATCGTCAGGCCGCAATCATCAGGGTGGCCTAGCATGAAACAGCCTGTCGCTTCTGAGCATTGACTTTAAGGTTCACTTTCATATATATATATATATATATATATACATATATATAAATATAAATATATATATATATATATCACATTCTGCTCATTATCTATCTAACTCTGTTAATTATCTGTCCAACTATATATTTGTTACTTTAATAATAATATAAAATAGTAAATCAATTAAAATATTAATAAAATATCAAGTAAAATATTCTAATTTAATTGATAAAAAATTAACAAAAAGTACAAGCTAATTAATAATATAACATGACAACTTCTATATAAACCATCAGAAAAATTTAATTTAATTTCGAAGAAAAGTTTAATTTCGAGAAAAATCTACAGCTGAAAAAATGAAAGACGTAAACAAAAACAAAATTTCATGAATGAGCGCGTCTACAAGAACGCTAAATTCATGAATGCGCATGTGTACAAAACAGAGTAAAAATACGTATTGAAAAAGACGCGGGAAAAATTGAAACATAAACAAAATTGGAAATACCGTTTAAAACCAGAAGACTAAAAATTTTACCAAGAAACTTCGAAGTCAGAATAAAAATTATATTTAAAAATGATCTTTTTATATAATATTATTATTAATACTTGTATATATATATATATATATATATATATATATATATATATATATATATATATATATATATATATATATATATATATATATAAGCAAATATATGGATATAGAGCCGACAGTATGAAGAAAATATACTGAAAAAACAAACAAAATCCCAATATGCGATTATGCTGTTTTAATGTTTAATGTCAACGTCGGACGTTTCGGTCTAATAGACCATCTTCAGGACATATTCATGAAACATAATTAACATAGACCATATACAATTCAACATGAAAAAGACGATGGACATAAAAAGCAATACCAATCCAAACAGATAACTGAAATCTTTTATAAGATCAGCGTTCCGTTTAAATATGATCACGTCGTCGTCGCGTGGGCGATGTTGTGAAAACGTATTCCAAAAATTTGAGAGTTTGAATGAAAAACGAAAAGATTTTTATTTTGATCTAAAACTTATATGTAGCAAGATTAATGCTCGACAAACGTACATATAAGTTTTAGATCAAATAAAATTCTTTTCGTTTTCATTCAAAATTAGTTGCATGTATATATATATATCAGTTGTATCTATCTATCTATCTATCTATCTATCTATCTATCTATATATATATATATATATATATATATTAGTTATATACATATACGTGTATATATATATATATATATATATATATATATATATATTGGTTTTATATGTGAAAAGTGCGTGTATATAAATGTAAATATATATGTAATATATTATATATATAATTATTTATATATTATATGCGCGGTACTTATTAGAAAGCGCTCATTATCACAGGTAGAGCGAACATATTTGGTTGGATTGGTGTGAGTTTGTGACCCTGGGTTTCGCGCTTTTGCGATCGTCAGATAAACTGATTAATTGTTTTTTAAATTTTGGATTTATGTAGATTGCATGCACTGGTGTTATTATGGAAGTGGGGGGATCGTCGTTGTGATGTCACTCATGCTAACGCAAACATAGATGCATGTCCGTGCACCCGTTGAGGTACGCAGACACACATACACACTCGCTAGCCCACCGGGGCTCATACAAACATAATGTGGGCAGTATGCGACTTGACATATGTATGTCTATGTGTGCTGTTGTCTATATACATACGCATTTGTACGTTGAAATTGAAATCTCGGAAGTGTAGCGAAGATTTCTCGTGAATGTCTCGTGAATGTCTCGTGAATGATGTCAACAATCAGACCATTTTTATATTCTTTCGCTGGATAATATTTCCTCGCACGCGCGTATATACGTGTGGTGGGGGTCTGTGTAAAATTATGATAGGTAAAAATTGCTATTATTTTTTAAGGCTGATTTGTTATTATTTTAAAGCTGGTTATTTGGTTGTTTTTGATGACTCCATATATGTAACTGGTAGAAATTGGGTTTATATGACAATAGTAGATGTGATGTGGGAGTACTAATGTTGGGGGATTGGTGGTAATGATAATATAAGTAGCTAATAGTTATTGCAATGTGATAGAATTGATTAGTAATGGTGGTGGGAAAATGATAATAACAATAAATATAAATATTGTGATGGTAGCTTGAACTAAAAAGTGATTGTTGGTGTTTTTTTTTTGTTTTTTTTATCCGTTTGTTATAAATTCTGACAAGTATTTATTCTCATGCCTACATTTGGAAATTATCTCTGATCTTATTGGTTTTTATTTGGTGGTATTAAATATGTTAGGGGGGGAGAATTTTACGTTAATAACTATAGTGGATTTATATGGTAATAGTACCTGGTAGTAATGGTGTTAGGGGATTGGTGGTAATGATAATATTAGTAGCTAATAGTTATTGTAAAGTGGTAGAAGTGATTAGTAATAACAATAAATGTAATTATTGTGATGGTAGTTTGAACTGAAGAGTGTTTGTTGCTGTTTTTTTTTTATCCGTTTGGTATAAATTCTTTATTCTCATGCCTACATTTGCAGATTATCCCTGATCTTTTGTTTAGTAAATTCTTTGCGAGGTATGGGATATTATTGCTACTTTTTCGTGTAGGCAAAGTTGACATTTTTGTAATGTTGCTGTAGACAGGTGCTTTTTCAATATTTTCCAGCTTATTCTTGGTGTAATATTTCTGTCTTTTAGAAGCCATATGTATGTGGATAGTGTAGTGCTGTTTGAGCATTTTCTGTTAGTGAATGAAAGGTCGTGGTTGTTTTTCCACTTCTTGAGTGGACCGTC